TGATCTAGATAAATGGTTTTGCAATTATGTTTTTCAGACCCTGAGACTTCTACAAGGTATATTAAGATACTTCTAAAAGCCAGTATATTTACAATGGTCAGTTTTAATGTATCTGCATCGCATTGTATTAAGGTCAATACTATTCACACATATTCACAAGTGGTCTTTCAAGGAATGAAAAACCATGAGATTCCACAATCTCAAAATGTCTAACCTCTGCTGTGTAACTGTAAATATGTCTGTTCACAAATGATGACAGAATGCTCCTCAGAAGTTATTTATGTGGTAGTTGACAAATGCTGATATGATTACACACACAAAATCAGGTGACAAGATTTTTCGTATTTTACCGATTCTACTGGGAAGCTTCTTCTTAGCCCTTAATTTCCATTATGTGAGGTTGTTTTCTCCCAATGCTTTCATCTAAGCAAACAGTATCTTTAACTGAAACCTCATAGTGACTAGAAATTATGACATGGAATTTGAGAAAGCAGTGCAATAAAAACATACTTAGCTTCCATTCTTCCCAACTAATAATTCTGAACAACTTTATTACTGTCTAATTTATGTAAGATCAATTAAAGTTTTTTTTGTTATATTTCGTTTTGTTTTACCAAGAATGCATTAAAAAATTCTAGCTCTCCCATAAATCTTTGCACACAAACTGTTAGCATTTTATTGGGCACTGAAGCACATTTGTAGCTAAATCATTTCTGTTTTTTGTGTACACATACACACACACACATACATGCACATACACAAGCACACTCACTGAATCCATGATTACTAACATTATTTGAAGAAAGATACTAGGCAAAAATTGTTATCTTAGGTTTCCTGGTGTGTTTTTTTAAAAGAAAGTGTTCCACCTTCCCACTTTTCTCGTTTCTTTTATTTGTTCATTTTATAAACCCCCTGAAGTCAACTACTCAGTAGAAAAATACACTATTTTTTAAAAATCAAGCAATTTAAATCCAGCTACAGTTAGTTTTTGCCAATATTTTCTAAGTCATGGCTTCATAAATTTTCATACTCCCATTAAGGTATCTTTGAGTGATCATTTTTTGGTTTTTCATGAAGCAGTAAAAAATACAAAGTCACAGTTTCAAGCCATTTATGTTATACTTCAGGCATTGCCAGATTTCAGAGTTTTTTTTTTTTGTCTGTTTTTGATCTGTCACTGAAGCCCCAGGCTAATATAAGAATCCTGAGTCAGTTAAATAATTAGGAACAAATTTGTACCTTCATATTAACTTCAAATTTTTTTCAAATCTAAGAATTTCAAAGGATTGAGAAAAAGACCTCTGAATTTATCAATCTACTTGTTTACTCTTGTTTTCAGAAGATCATTGGTACCCATTCCATCACTTTTCCCATCTATGCATGAATCACACTCATTCACACCACAGATTTTTGAATCAACAAAAATTAATTTACACCTAGAGATTACAAATTACAATTTTAAATGCCCCAAGGTAACCCTATAATTCTCCAAAATGCATTTCAGAATATCTTTCCTTGGCAAATTTTGACAACAAATAAGAGAGCTATAACATAGTAGTGAAGGGATTTAGACTCTTTAATCAAGAAAGAAATTATCTGGAGAATTTCATTTTTTACAAGCTCGCTATTGGGTAAGAGTTCCCCTAAATCTGTGAAGAGAGTTCTCTGGTCTTATGGTCTAGCCTACAGTTTTACAGCTATAACCCAAATGTGTACTTAGGATTTGCATTTGTTAATAATTAAAACTATCCCATTTGGACACTGACCCCAAAAATATACATACGTTTTACTTTACTGGTATTAAATTAGGAATATCACTTCTAGTATCTGAAATACTTCAAACTTCAAACTATGAAGAAAACCACTTAAAATTATATGTCTGTTCTCCAATGCCACATATGTCCACAATGGTTATGAAAATAGAAGATCCCATTATGTTATGGTCATTCCATGGTTCTGGGAGACAGGAAAGGTGATTTCACCTTGACAGAAGTAGCATTCTACTTGTAAGTATGATATGGTTTTAAATTTAATGGAACAACAAACCAGTGACATGTTAAATGTAAAACAGATGCCACAATCTTACAAATTCCTGGTTTAAATCAGGACCACAGTAAAAGCTTTGGAAGAGAAGTATGAATGCTTGGCATGGGGTGATACGCTCTATGTATATTTTATTTGAAAGTACCCATTGTGAAATCACTTGTTAAGATTCTTTTTGGGGACTCGGTTTCATTCTACTCATCTTTTAAGGCATAACTGGCGTGCTCGTAAAATGTACACAAATGGAAAAAAAAAGGAATGCTGACAATAATACATATAGGTGGCACAGCACATAGGAGTGAAAGCAGGAGGGGAACACTAACCATATTAGGCTTGGATGGGCAACAGCGCACAGGGAAGAAGCCCTTCCACAGCCACAATCGCAGCAACTGAAAAGCAAACAAGAGAGCCCAAGATAAGGAAGAGATCCCACTCCCCTGATACAGCATAAAGACACTATGAATTTAGACAGGTGTCTGCTTTGCTTTTCAAAAATCAAAATTCCCTAAATGCATACAATTAATTTTTCCACAATGCCTTTTAAGTTAAGAAGCATTTTATGGAGTTAAATACAGAGCTGTAGTAGATAATTATTTTCATTTTACTTAAAATGCTTATTCAGTAGGAAATATAATGAGCCAATATATTTGATTATCCAATTAATACAGACATATGAATAAAGACATAAGCCCATTTAAATATATCTTTCCTCAGAAATTCCTGAAAAATTTATATTCCAAAGACATTCTAAATAGCCCTGTAAACAAATGTTTTGCAGAGAGCCTACAAATTCAGGCTGGAGAATAATACTGCGTTCATTTGACCCACTGATTTCTTACACCAGTGGCATTATTTATCACAGCCTACTGAAAACGTTATGCTTACATGACTTCTCCAATCACTTATGGAAAGCTACCAATTTAAATTTACATTTTCAGATTTAAAAAATGCATCTCCATAATATATTTGCAGAGCTATTGCTGTATTAAAAAAAAAACCCAAACTACGCAAAATACATGCACTTTTCTGGATATTGCAACATTCTAGATTCTTTTAATTTTCTACATAGTCATAGAAAAAGAAATCCAGAAAATACCAAGTAAACTGTTTAATAAAATGTACTTTGTTGTTATAAACCACATAAACTAATGGCAGAATATAACACAGAAGATATTTAGTGTTTCAATGCATTCACTTTCCAGTATAGTTATTAATTGCACTGATAGTGATTTCAAGAGAACTGTGGAGTGAGCTCAGTAGTGATACCACACACCAGCAGGCTGAGAGTTTTACTAAACTCTGTCTCTCTTGAACTCAGGTACTTCAATTCTATCTACTCTATTTTATATCAAATGAGAAGAAGAAAATACAATGCAAACATTCAATATATTTGGAAATGCTAACAAAGGTAGACAAATATTCCCAAATCAAATTCCAATGGACCTTTCTCAAAGGAATAGAAGGCAACATTCCCTATAGTTTCTCTGGAGCACTGATAATGCTTAGATTTTTCATATTACTAAGCATCTGAGAATTTGGCTGTCACTAAAATGGCAACTGTGACATTTATTTCCAGTTTGACTACATATATTTTAAAGAATATGCCAAATAATTATTTTCATTGTAGAGCTACTGAAAGTCTGAAAGTCAAAGCTACAGTATAACAAAATGTTAAAGTACTTAAAGAGTAGGTAAAGCAATCTGTAAAATACTTTGGCAAATCTTGATACATATTTAATAATTATATTTATTTCATTCATGTCATAATTACTGATATCTTAGGTATGTTAACTTTCCTGTTGCTTCTATTTGTATTGGCACTAAGATTTGAGGTTAACAACTATGGCCCATGGGCCAAATCTAGTCTCCCACTTATTTTTGTAAGTCCGGTGCTATGAAACAGAGCCACGCTCATTATGGTTATGGCTTCTTTCATGCTGTCATGGCGAATTTAAGTAGTTGTGACAGAGGATGTGTGGCCTGCAAAGCTGAAAACATTTACTATCTGGCACTTTAAAGAAAATCTGCCTTCCTCTTTTTTTAGACTATTAGTTTCGTGAGATGAGGATGATTTCTTGATCTTTCTTTCTTCACAATTTAAACAGGATGAATGACACAACAAGTAGCTTTACTGTAATTGGTATTACCTATTGGCACAATTATCTCAATTTACTGGTAGTTATTAATATGGAAAGTTTGCATATATGTGTAGATTTCAAACAGCACAGTTCCAACTCAATAAATAATAAATAATAACAGATTGCTGACAAATGTATACATTGTTTTTCAGCAGTTAAAAAAAGATGACATCATCTCCTAACAAAGCACAAACATCCTAGTTGAATGTGCACAGTTTACAAACTCATGCAGAACTGCCTAGGAAAGTAAGAACTGCACTGTGATTGGCCATCACCTACAAAGATTTGTTTAATACTTGATCAGTGTTCTAAGACCCAAAAAAGTACACTACAGATTCTAAAAATGTTAACATTTTATGTAGTCCTTTTCATTTGAAAAATTATAATGCTTTTGTCTTACAAATTAGTACATACTCACACACATACACACATACACACAATTCACTGTAACACCAAATCTACAAATTTAAGTCCTCGAAAATTTGTCACCTTATATATCATTAGATTCCTAATTTATAATTCTGAAAAAAGTTCAATCAAAAATCTGAAATCATGTAAAATCAAACGCTTGTTCTTCTATTTTTTTCTAAGTCATTGTTTTAGATTTTGTACTGATACTTTGACTTGTTTCAAGATGGCATAAATTAATACCTTGGGTACTTAGTTAACTTTTCTGTGTTTTGGTTGACTGCTATAAAATATGGATAATAATGAATCCTATCTCGTAGTTTTTGTGAAAATAAAGTGAGAGGATACTTTTCCCTTAAATCAGATATCATATGCTTTGGGAGAAAAGTGGTAGCTACTACTCTTGGTATTATCATAATCAAAATGATAGAATGGACTCTCATTATCTCAGAGAAATTCATTTTTTCATGATCTATATAATATTACTACATAAGTATTTCTATTTATAATATAACTAAACTAATTACATTCAGACCAATTCACATAAATACAGATGGCTAATGTAATTAAAGAAAATCGTTTCCACAAAATACATTTTTTAAGGGTTTAGTGATCAGAGCATACTGTGCATTAATATGTCATTAAGAAAATTAAAACTGAAGCTCCTTCTCTATGAATATCTGAAGTGGAATAGTAATCCCCCAAATTACTCATTTTAAATAAACTCTGAGGATGCTCCCACAGTAACACCTCAGCACCAGATGGTATAAAAAACATGTTCTTTCCTTAATCAATAAATACTTGAAGTGTAGATTGAAAATGCTTACAAGCCTCAGAGATAATTTAGAAATAGAAACCAAAATGTGCTAGAAATAGCAGCCAATCTAATTTATGTGAGCTATGGTTCAACACAGAGTCCATTTGCATTCCCATCAGATTTTAGCACCTGGATGTCTGGAAGTAACTGTATGCAGTTATACCAAGATCATTATTATCCAAGTTTAAAACAGTTTAGCCCTTCTAGGCTTAAATAGCAAAACTGTTGATCCTTGTTTTAACAAGATATTTTGACTTGTCCTTTGGAAGGTTAAAACATGATAACAGAAGCTTTCTAGACCCCCAAAAGATTCGAATGAAATTACTTTGGCCAAGCTTTACACAGAGTTGATCAATAAATGTACCAAGTGTGTCAGTGTAAGTAAGATAACCTCCTTCCTACTGAAGCAAGGTGATTATAAGTCTTGGGAAGAAATTCTCAAAGATACTAGATCAGAGAAGCAAGACTACAGGCTGTGGATAAACGATGACTCAAATTTCAAAGCAAGAGATTGTACAAGTGGATAAGAAAAGCACTAAGATCCTAAAAGATAAATGAGAGAGGCAGGGAGAGTAATTTCACAAAAGAAGTATTTTAATTAGGTAGATAGTATTTTCAGTTTACTGGTTAAAAAAAGAAAGACAATGTAAAGGTTGTGTTATTGATCCATTTTAAATAAAACGACAGCAACAATAACAAAATGATGGTACTGAGTGCTGGAGAAAAGAGTGTAGTTTGAGCCCTCAAAGGTGGCAGGGCATACTAAGAAGTATCACCAGTGCTTTGGAGAATAATCCTCTAAAAGTTATTAAAGGGTGATAAAAATGTCCTTACCTTTTGACATCACTTGGGAGCAAAACAGATAAGATCATGGGTTTTGTAGTCAAATTAGGAGCAGTCCTGGATGTACCCACTACGAAATGTATAGTTTTTGGTAAACTAGTCATTAATGTAAATGAGATAAATAATAGAAACTATACCATGTAGGGCTACTCTGAAGAGCAAGTTTGATTATACATGTAAAGCTCTCTGAAATGTCCTGGGCTCATAGACAGCACTTAAAAATATTTTAACTGATATTATTATAATAACATGGTCTTACAGCAAAAAGTAAGGTAGAGATAATATGCATGAGACTGGCTAGAGATTTTAGAGGAACTAATGACCAACACATATTTTGCAGTTAACAAAACCTATTTGTGGAGTCTATGATGCAATGAAATTAATATGGTATAATATTACATTTTTTAAACATTAGGTAAAAATTAGTGTGCAGAGATATAAAATGATGGCAAAAAATACGTAAGGCCTTTAATATCTACTGTGTTGGCCTAGGGACAATTCTATGGAACATTTGCATTTCTATGGGACAATTTCAGTCTTCTCTGATTTCAAATTTTTTTGTGGTTATTTTACTTTATAATTGTAAGAAAATTAAACAAAGAATTCAAATAATTCCAATTATGATGCTTATCACAATATACTGTCATTTACACCCTATCAGTTTTGAAATGCTAAGAGTAATTTAAACAGGTAACAGATATTTACAACAAAAGAAGGTGAGGATATTGTTCAGTGGTAATTAACACTGACAATGTTATATTATACATTTCTTAAAATATCTCATAATGAAACACCTTTTGCATCTGTGTCTTAATTTACTGCCACTCTTCTTAGATTTAGTACTGATTTCCTGATGAAGCTAGGCAAAAACTGAAAAAAATTTTTTGCAAAAACTGAGAAAGGGATGAAATGCATAATGATAACCCAGGTGGTTCCCAAACTCTACTCCTCAGTCCCCATACTTCTGACAGAAAGGCATAAAATGATTCCACCCTCCAAGAGGTGGTAATGCAGAATGGCTGGAAAGAGTGTTTTTTTAAGTGCATTTTTGAGTAATTCTGAGGGGAATCCCATGTCTACAACACATGCTTTGATTGTATGTGCAAAATCCAATGACTGTTTCCAAGTTGTGGTCTCAACAAACTGGAATAGGATATAGTTATACACAGTAATTTTAAAGAAC